GAGGTGGGAGGGGGAAAAATGCAAGAGGCTGCATCCAAATAAATGTATTTATGTATATGTATATATACATGCATGTCTGTGTGTGTGTATATATATATATATATGTAGGCTTGGGGGCAAGAGCAGGGCACAGCAAAGCATCTGCCCCTGGCGGGCGCTGCTGGGCACAGCCCTGCCATGGGCTGGGCATCCTCAGCACCCACGAGGCACCCACGGGCTCCCTTCTCGGCAGAGTGGCCACCCCGGGCTGCTGGCACTGACCATGATGGACCTGAAAGTGGACGAGGAGGAGGTGGACAGCGGGCAGCCGGTGAGCATCCAGGCCTTCGCCAGCAGCTCCACCCTGCACGGGCTCTCGCACATCTTCTCGTACGAGCGGCTGTCGCTGAAGCGCGTGGTCTGGGCGCTTTGCTTCCTGGGCTCGCTGGCGCTGCTCGCCCTGGTCTGCACCAACCGCATCCAGTACTACTTCCTGTACCCCCACGTCACCAAGCTGGACGAGGTGGCGGCCACCAGGCTCACCTTCCCCGCCGTCACCTTCTGCAACCTCAACGAGTTTCGCTTCAGCCGCGTCACCAAGAACGACCTGTACCACGCCGGCGAGCTCCTGGCCTTGCTCAATAACAGGTGGGTGCCAGTGGTGCCTTGAGGTGGCCCCAGGTGACATCTCAGTCAGTCTGGATGCAGCCAAGAGCCACCAGGTCCTGCTAATTCTCCTGGGCGTGTGGCTCCCACACTGGGCTGCCCCAGATGGCTCCAGGGCAGCACATGCAGCAGGGCCAGGGCCACCTCCTGGGTTCCTGTGGGGCTGATCCTGCGCACCTGGCTCCAGTGCCATGTCTGGGTGCCATCCCATGCAGCGAGGCCAGGGGTGCCAGCAGGTGAAGACACTGACCCACACCCCAGCCTGGTGCCATTCCTTGGGCTGTGGAAGCCCCTCACCTGTGGCTGTGGTGGCTCCTTGGTGCTGCCAAGCTGCTGTCAAGAGCCTGGTGCACTCCCTGCCCATGCCAATGCCAAGGGGCATCACTGCTGTCCCCACTCCTGCCCCAGGGAGGGGTTTTCAGGCATGACAGCAGAGCTGAGACCAAGAACATTCAGTCCCTGTCCCAGCAAGGCCACCACCTCACAATGATGCCACCAAAGGCACAGGGCAGGTGGCTGGGTGGCCTCAACCAGGGCTGGTGCTATTGGACCAGCAGTGGGACAAGTGGGATGGGTTTGGGAGGTGGCCACTGCCCAGCTTATCCTTCTGCCATCTTCATGTGTTTCTGGGCCCCTTTGTGCTGTTGGATGCTCTGGAAATGCCCCGTGCAAGGTGGGGCTGTGCTGAGCCCATGCCAGGGTCACTCCTGGGAACCCCAAATGGCCTTTGCCGGTGGGAGCAGCCACCACAGCCAGGCCTGAGCCTCGCCCTGCTTTTCCCCCAAGATACGAGATCCCAGACATCCAGACAGCCGATGAGAAGCAGCTGGAGATCCTGCAGGACAAGGCCAACTTCCGAAACTTCAAGCCCAAACCTTTCAACATGCTGGAATTTTACGACCGGGCTGGCCACGACATCAGGGAGATGCTGCTGTCCTGCTTCTTCCGTGGGGAGCAGTGCACCCCCGAAGACTTCAAAGTGGTGAGTGACCCGTGGGCCCTGCCCAGTGCCACCTCTCCCCCATGCAAGGAGGGTTTTTGCCCACCTGTAGCTGCTCCTGCCTCCTCCCAGCTCGGAAGGGACCGGCAGCACCGTCACTGAGGGGATGCTGTTGGGGTTTGGAGGCCCAGGCTGTCCCCAGGAGCACGTGTGGCTCCGTACAGCTCCGTGGGCTGCTCCCACGTGGGCACAGCTCCCCGGGATCATTTGGGCTCTGCAAAGCAGGGTTGTGCCGGGCTGGAAGCTGCCATGGTGAGGAGGCTCCAGTGGAGAAGCAGGGAGAGCACGCATGGCAGAATCCCTTGGGAACACAGGTCCCGGTGGCTCCGTGCTGCGCCCTGCCATGGAGCCTGTTCTTGTGCTGTGGATCCAGCACACAATAAAGCCTTTATCCCTGCTCTGCCTGGCCCCATCCAGCTGGGGACGGAACAGTGCCGGCTATTCGGGGCTGCCTAATCAATTCGGCAGCCGCGGCCGCTGCTCCCGAGCAGCTCCGGCGTGGGGACTCCTTCGGGGTCCCCATCCTCGTCACCAGCCCAGGGGTGTCCCCCTCGTGTCCCACACTGAGCATGGCTGGGTGTGTGCAGAGCCCAGGTCCCGGTGCAGTTTGGGTGATTTTAATCATCGGCATTAAATTCCTGTCATGGGCTCTTTGCACGAGCAGGTGTCTGTTGTCAGCCATGAGGCGTTTATTTGTTAAATGGAGGCACGTTGCACCCGGAGGGGGCTGGATCCCCTCCAGCAGGGCCAGCTCCGTCCCGTGCCTGGTTCTGATGTTGGCTCCTGCCAGGGCACGGCCGCGTTTTCTGCGCCGAACCATCCTCAGGCACCTTCATCCCTGCTCCCTCCCTGCATCCCTTGGGTTCCAAATCCCTGTGTTCTGCATCCCCTTCAACCAGCAAAAGCCAAACAGGCTCGCAGCTGGTTTGTTATTCCTGCCTGGATTATTCCTTGCAAGCAGGTTGGGATGATTTAATGGATTTGATTAGAGGAAGCTGGCTCTCTGCTGCGTCTCTGTTGCTCCTTGGGGTCTGGCACGGGGAGGTCTGTGTGTGGTGGGGCTGGGATGGGCTCCTGGCACTCTCAGAAGCTTGTAGGGGATTGTCTCAGCAGCAAATTCCTGCTGCCTCGCTGCTCCCTGCACGGGCTGAGCTGGGCTCGGTGCTGCCCTGGGCCTGGTGGCTGATCTGGGGGTGCTGGGGACCAGAACCAGGCTTGCACCACCTGCCCTGGTCCTGGCATTGCTCATCCCCCTCCATGTCCCCCCCGAGCTGTGTGCAGGGTACAGGGACACCCCAGCTGAGCTGAGCAGGCTCAGACTCATCCCAAACTGCAGAGTGAACCCTCTAAAGAGATCAGGGGGGGACAATTGGCCCACCCCAGCTCTGCCCTGGCTCCTCACAGCCCCTCCAGAACCGGGCAGTGTTTGGTGCCCAGCAGAGCTCCCCCTGCATCAGCCCAGGACAGGCACAAGGATGCACAGGGAGGTGCCTTGGTCTCCTCCCCAAAATCCTGGCATGACCTCAAAGCCTGGAGAGGCAAGCACAGAGCTGAGGGGCAAGTCTTGAACCTGAGGGACATGGGGGAAGGTTTCCCCGTGCCCAGAGCCCCACACAGGGATGGGACAGACAGGGACAGACACATTTCCCTTTGCAGGAGGGGCTCGCCCTCGCTGTCGCCCCGTTTTGAGGCCACGCTCCCTGGCACCCTCATTAGCAGCACGGATCGATGTTTCACTCTTCCTGCTTCATTATTTATGAGCTGGAGCCGTCCCTCCCCTGCGGGAGCTCTCAGCCCCCCCTCGGCTCCTGCTCCTTCCTCCCCTCACTGCGAGGTTCCCCCGGGGCCCCGCACACCCACGGGGACGGCGCCTCACCCAGCAAGGGAGAGGCTCCCATCTCTGGGCTCTGAATCCAGGCAAGAAGGAGAATCGCTGAGGATGAGCTTCCTCTCCACACCCCAGCATGGGAATTGTGGCTGCACCATCTCGGGAAGGTGGCCCGTGCTTGGGAAGCCCTTTGGGGTGGTCGGTGCAGCCAGGGGGGCAGGAGTGGCTGTGCCCAGGGGTGGCACAATGTGGATTTGCAGCTTTTCCTTCTCACACCCTGTGAACCCACCCCATCCCTGCCATGCTCTGGGGCACGGTGGCTGAGCCCAGAGCCCTGGGCAGTGTGCATGGGACAGCCTGGATGAGCTGGAGAGGATTAAGACCTCTGGACCGTTTCCATGAGGCTCCAGGGCTGAGCTGGCACTGGGGAGAATTGAGTTTGACGTGGTGATCGTGCCGCTGCCTTTTGCATTGGATTCTGCATCCTCTGCCCTGCAAACACCGGGTGCACAGAGCCAGAGCCAGGCAGGGAGCAGGAAGGGTCTGCAGCAGCCCCAGCAAACCCCAACCACACTCCTCTTCTCCTCCCTGCTCCCATCTCCAGGGCAGAGCAGGAGCTCCTGTGATGGAGAACAGATCCTGTTCCCCACTGCTGGGCCTGCCCCCCCTCCTTCTGACCCCTCTGCACCCTGCTGAACCCCACTAGACCCCTCCAGATCCTGCTGCACCCTCAGACTCTGCGACACCCCAGTGTGTGCACCCCCAAAACCCCTCTGCACCCCTGGGCTCCCTGCTCAGCCCGCCTCGCTCCAGCTGGGGGTGTTGGAGCTCTGCTCCTGCCACCCCAGGAGCATGGTGGCTTCTTCCCCTGG